AGGAGAAGGAGAAGGAGAAGGAGAAGGAGAAGGAGAAGGAGAAGGAGAAGAAGAAGAAGAAGAAGAAGAAGAAGAAGAAGAAGAAGAAGAAGAAGAAGAAGAAGGAGTTCTCATACTAGCAACTTAGCAGCATACCTGAAAGTTCTAGAACAAAAAGATATCACTCTAAAAAGGAATAAACTGGAAGAAATAATCAAATTCAAGACAGAAATCAATAAAATAGGAAAAAATACAAAGAATTAATGAAACAAAGAGTTGGTTTTTTGAGAAAATCAATTTGACAAACCCATATCAAAAATAACTAAAAGGCACATAGAGAATATCCAAATGAACAAAATTAGAAATGAAAAGAGGAGTTGGGTGGTGGTAGCCCATGCCCTGAATCCCAGCACTCAGGAGGCAGAGAGGCAGGTGAATCTCTGTGAATTCCAGGACAGCCTGGTCTACAGAGTGAGTTCCAGGACAGCTAGAGATATTCCACCAAGAAACCTTGTCTCAAAAAACAAAAAGAAAAGAAAAAGAAAGAAAGGAAAAGAGGGACATAACAACACACCCTGAAGAAATCCAGAGAACTAGGGACGTACTTTAAACACCTGTACTCTGTCAAATTGGAAAAATCTACTGAAATGGATAATCTTCTCGATACATACCACTTACCAAACTTAAATTAAGATTAGATAATCAATTTAAACAGACCTACAATTCTTAGTGAAATAGAAGCAGTTATTAAAAGTCTCTCAACAGAAAAAGAGCACAGGGCCAGATGGTTTTAGTGTAGAATTCTACTAGACTTTCAAAGAAGAATTAGTGCCAATACTCCTCAAATTATTCCACAAAATAGAAACAGAAGGAACATTGCCCAAATCATTTCACAAGGCCACATTTATCCTGGTACCCAAACCACATAAGACCCACAAAGAAAGAGAATTACATATCAATTTCCCTTATGAATACAAATGCAAAAATTCTCAATAAATTATTTGCAAGCCAAATCCAATAACATATCAAAAAGATCAGATACCATGATCAAACAGGTTTCATTTCAGAGATGCAGTAATGGTTCAACATATGAAAATCTGCCAATGTAATCTATCATATAAACAAACTGAAAGACAAAAACCACATGATCATCTTATTAGATGCAGAAAAGGCCTTTGACAAAATCCAACATCCCTTCATGATAAAAGTCCTGAAGAGATTAAAGATACAAGGAACATTCCTCAACATAATAAAGGCAGTTTACAGCAAGCCCATAGCCAACATCAACTTAAATGGAGAGAAACTCAAAGCAATTCCACTAAAATCAAGAACAAGACAAAGTTGTCCACTCTCTCCATACCTATTTAATATAGTACTTGAAGTCTTAGCTAGAGCAAGGAGGAAACTGAAGATTAAGCAGCTACAAATAAGAAAGGAAGAAGTCAAAGAATCTTTATTTGCAGATGATTTGATAGTATACATAAGTTACCCAAAAGGTTGCACCAAGAAATTTCTGCAACTGATAAACCTTTTCAGCATAGTGGCTGGATACAAAATTAATCCCCCCAAAAAATCAGTAACCAGCTAGCTGGAATAAAGTCTTCAAATTGGCAAAATAAAATGAAATAAAACTAATTGTCATAATTTCTTAGAGATACACTCAACTTGATACTTGGTACTAAATACCCTCCAGTCAGCACACGTTCCATTAACAAGTCACATCTTCTTGGCAAAACACCTAGGACAGAGATGTGACATGTAGAGCAGAGCAAAGCCTTTGCAGGTAAGCTTCCTTTACACCCCAGATGTCAGTCTTTATGTACTCTTGTTTGTTGTGCCTGTTAGAGAGGTAAATGCAACATCCTGATTTCTATGAGCTGAATAATCCATAACTTCTACCAAAGGCATCACAAAGTGAATTCATGCCCCATCCTGTCTTGATGAATTGAAACACCCTATTCTATGAATTAAATGAAAACTTTCTTATGCTGTATTCCCCTTTAACCATACAATTCCACCTTGTGAAGCTACGGTTAGAAATGAAACTCTCTAGCACTCCCTTTATAGAAATGAACTTCTCTGATGCTTTGTCAGTAGACTAGAACACAAATACAATGACTGCCATGTCTGATAGCTATGGAACTCTTGGTTGGAGAAAGGGGAGGCATTTAGACAAAGCACTAGACTGTTTCACAACTATCCCTTCCCAGCATGAAAAGACTCAGGTAAGCACTTTAAGAACAAGTTATAACAGATATTCATATGCTATTATATAAATGGTTATATTTTGGAAGACCATTCCAACTTACTTGGGCCATGACTTAAAATTTCAAGAGTTGACCAATTCTCTTCTGGATTCTTCTGTCAACAAAGTAGAGTCTTGGGAAAGTGGAGCTAGAGGGAAAAATCGTAAGAGGTTAAGTTTTCTTTGAAGCATGGCTTAGTTACTGTTCTACTGCTGTGAATAGACACCATGATCAAGAAAGACCAAGGCAACTCTTAAAAGGAAACACGTAATTGGGGCCTTGCTACAGTTTTAGAGGGTTAGTCCATGATCACCATGGCAGGAAACAGAGAGGCATGGTGCTGGAGCAGCAGCTGAGAACTTTACATCCTAATCTGAAGGCAGCAGGCAGAGAGAGAGAAAGAGACAGAGAAACAGTGACAGACAGACACACAGAGACAGAGAAAGAGCTAGAAAGACACTGGGCTTGGCATGGGCCTTTGAAACCTCAAAGCTTACCTCACCCCCACCCCTGCCGCCATGACACGCCTCTTCCGATAAGACCACACCTTCTAATCCACATTCAAACCACCACAGAGCTTTCAAATGGAAAAATGGGAAGGCCTGTTTTCTTCCTTGGAGGAAGGACATAGGGACTCTGAGGAAATTGTACCCCTTTGCAAAACCAGAGTTACTCAACTATAGAGAGATGATTTGAATTCAATTACTTATACCCAAAACCATGACAAAGGCCCGAATATGGAATAGCACCACTCTTTCCCTAAATGTCCCGTATAACTACCCCATTTCTGAAATAGACACCTAACGGTCACCCCAGGGCTGGTGGAAATCTCTCACCTGGAAGCCCACCCCATCTGCCCCAACTCTCCTGTGTACGACTACAACCAATGCCTCTACCCTTCTCCATGTCCAGCAACGGTCTATGATATCTCTGAGTCATTTTCATTCAGACAATATGACAAGAGCCACACCACAAAACTAAAGACAAGTTTGAAGCCTAAATAAACCCTGAATAGACCCATCAGATATTCCTGAGATGACTGATGAGGTGATAAATAAGAATGGCCCCCCACAGACTCATGTATTTGAATGCTTGGTCCCTGATTGCTAAACTGTTTTGGGAAGGATTAGGAGACGTGGTCTTATTGGAGGAATATACTAGAGGTGTGCTCCTCTCTAGGCCCAGTCTCTCTCTCTGAAACTGTAAGCAAGCCTCCAATTAAATACTTTCTTTTATAAGTTGCACTGGTCATGGTGACTCTTTACAAGCAGTAGGAAAGCAACTAAGACAACAGACATACATTATATGCAGTTTCCACCGGAGGACAAAGAGAACTGTGCACACAGTCTTTGGCTCAGCTGGCCCATAGATTTCCAGGAACATCCAAGCCCCATCATTCTTTCTCTCTTTTCCTTCCTTGTATCATCATCCCTGTAGCATCTTCACTCAGTGTAAATTCTTAGAGAAAGCAAGAATACAGTTCTGACTGTCCATTCCCTCTACAGGATGAAAGCAACAAAAATACTAAGTAGCCGGGCGTTGGTGGCGCACGCCTTTAATCCCAGCACTCGGGAGGCAGAGCCAGGCGGATCTCTGTGAGTTCGAGGCCAGCCTGGGCTACCAAGTGAGCTCCAGGAAAGGCGCAAAGCTACACAGAGAAACCCTGTCTCGAAAAACCCAAAAAAAAAAAAAAAATACTAAGTAAAATTATGTTTGTGTACTTGGTGTAGATGCATACATGTATATTCTACTGAGAAATATGGACAGATTTGAGACTATCTAAAAGTAGGCACAATAGCATTACAATTCTGTGTTCTGTTCCCTAAGAATCATCAATAATGTTTTTATCTGTATTAATCCATATTTGTAATTTTCTGTGAAAGGCAGTAATTATCCTAATTTAAAAGACGAGAAACTGGTCACTGCTTGTCTTAGTTACTTTTCTAATGACTACTTCGTAAAACAAAATGCTGGAACAATCTATGAAAACTTCGTTTACCTGGCAATTGAAAATGCTCATGTAAAGTCCAACCCTGAATATTTTAACAATAGATGGAAACTGAAATTTAATAAAGCAAACCATGGGACTGGAAAGGTGACTTAGGGCTCAGAGCACTGGCTGCTCTTCCAGATGACCCAGGTTCGATTCCCAGCACCCACATGTCTCTGCCGCCAGTTCCGGGGAAGCCAATGCCTATGACTTTATTGGACCCTGAATGCATGTAGTACACATACATAAACGCAGGCAAAATACCCATACACATAAAATAATCAAATGAAAATAAGTTTTAAAAAAATGAAAGTAAACCTCAAAGTGTAGTGAAAGTTTTGAAAGGCTGTATCTATAAAGAATTGAATTCATATGTAAGCTATGAAAATCAAAAAGAGAGGGCCTTTAGGACATGCTAAAAACAACAACAACAACAACAAAAAAAAAAAGTAAAACAAGGTACTGATAGAGACAGAATTACAACTAAAAATTCTCATTAATGCCTAACATGGTGGCGCAAGCCTTTGATCCCAGCACTCGGGAGGCAGAGGCAGGCAGATCTCTGTGAGCTCGAGGCCATCCATCCCGGTCTACAAAGAGTTCCAGGACAGGTAGGGATACACAGAGAAACCCTGCCTCAAAAAAAAAAAAAAAAAAAAAAAAAAAAGAAACAAACAAACAAAAAAAAACCCCTAAACTAAGGAGCTACCAGTAGCAACACATGCAGCACCGGATATACACTAAAGGGTCCCTCCTCTTCCCCCATCATTAAGGTCACACATTCCTTCCTAGAAAGGTGAGACCCTCCCACTTCCACATCCACCCCCCCACCCCTCACCCCACGCCCACCCCCACCCCCGCCTGCACCCCTTGGGATCAAGACAGACTAAGGTGTGTACTATGAACTGCATATGAACCATCCGCCCGAAACCTCTTCTCTCTTCAGAGGCCCCGCCATGATATTTTCCTGGAGTAGGAATCTCGTATCTGCCTGGAAATGATATTTAGAGACTTCGAATTTCCCACAGCCTCTGCCACCCAGGTGATCCACATCCAGGGGAAGAGACACACCATCACCACGTGCGTAGATCAAAACACACGCTACAGTGTTACCCTCCACCTTCATTAGGCTACCCAGAACCTTGGTGTCTCCCCGCCCTTCCATCCATCTAACCCGAACAGTTTCCCACATGCCTTCCAGAATCCCAGTCTTACCACGGAATCGATCACTTACACCTGCAGGGCTGGGCCCGCGGCTTCCTCTCACCAGACTCCCCAGGCTAGTTTGGTTTCAGACACTCAGGTCTCACATTTGGATTCGCTCTTGGGTTAGGAAGCGCGGTCCTAAAGTGGTCTGCCTCCACAGCTTCCTGCGCCAGCAGCCAGCTTCAGAGCGGCTTCTCAGGGTCTGTTCGGCAATCCCAACCTAGCCTCCACCTCCTGACCTGATCAAACATTTCCCTCGTACCCGAACTACAGTTCCCAGGAGGCCGTGCGACCCTGTACGTCACCAGCTGGATGGCAGTAGCCAAGGAGCCATGAAGGCACCTAGACTGGGTTGTGTGAAGAAAAACTTGTCAATAGTCCCCACAGTAATGTTCAGATTCAATGCACTCTCTATCAGATTTTCAATGGTCTTTGGAGAAATAAAGCCAACATTCACATGCATAGGTAACTGCAGTGGGTTCCATAGAGCCAAAACAATATCGAGAACAAAAACCAAAGCAGGAAGGCTCATACCTTTCAACTTTAAACTTCTTCAGTTTTGTTTTGTTTGTTTTTTCGAGACAGGGTTTCTCTGTGTAGCCCTGGCTGTCCTGGAACTTGCTCTGTAGACCAGGCTGGGCTCGAACTCACAGAGATCTGCCTGCCTCTGCCTCCAGAGTGCTGGGATTAAAGGCATGTATTGCTACTGCCTGGCCCAGTATTCAAAATCTTATGATACTGGCATAATGAGAGATATACGGACCAGTGGAATAAGAAAAGCAAGAATCTAAAAACAAACCCTAAAATCTATGGGTAATTGATGTTCTTTCTTTCTGGTGTTAAAATTTGATTTTTCTGTCTTTTGCCATCTAAAAATTAACCTCCTGGACTACTTTACTATAAAATGCCATAAACAGGGCTGGAGAGATGGCTCAGCAGTTAAGAGTAGTGATTGCTACTCCAGAGGACCTGGGTTCAATTCCCAGCACCCACATGGAACCTCACAGCTGTAACTCCAGTTCCAAGGGATCTGGCACCTTCTCATAGACATACATACAGGCAAAACACTAATGCACACAAAATAAAAATAAAGAAGTCTTTTTTTAATGCCACAAACCACGTTCTAGTCACAGAGGAATCTTCCTTCTCCACTGTTCATTTCTTGTTCATTCAACATTTTAGCATTTCATCTTAAACATGCTGCATCTGGGTTGCTCTCTTTTCTACTTCCTTCAATTTATGTGCAATTTTTATTATTTGGCCTGATTTCTCCTACAAGTATCTATTTAACTACGGAGCAACCCTGAGAATAGGTGTGATTGTTTTACTCATAGTTGTATATGTCACCGATTCATCCTATGAACGGTGAGGTGAGTGCATCCACTACCTTTGCAAACCTACTGCTGGTTTTTAAAAATCAAATCAAGCCACTGTTTAGAACCACTGACACAATCTGTCTTTCTAAACACCTCCCTGCACCTCCAGTGCAGTCCTTCCGTCTCTTTTTCCTAAATTGCCTACTCCTATTTGAGAATTGAATAAGGTATCACTGTTTATAAAAATTAGTATGAGTTAAGCCTGTCATGTCTATTATAAAAGTTTCATTTTGCCTGGAACCCCAAATTGTGAGTGCTTGCCTTTATATTTTCTTTCAGGCTGAATCAAGGTTGAGACCAAGAAATTATTTCTGAGAAAGGATATTTATGGACAAGAATCATCCTGATGAGAGATCATAAAAAGATTTACAAAACACAGTATTAAGAGTTCAAGTTTCAGAGGTGATTGGGAATTTAAAGCCAGTTTGAGAGAAAATAGAGATCTTGGGTAGGACTTTTCAGTTGAATTATATTTACTCCTGAAGACATGCTCATGTTTAGTACCCATAACCAACTAATTCACACCAAGAAACTCCTTGAATGTAAGGAATGTGGAAAGAATTCTAGTTTTGTGTC